CAAAACCCTAGTGATGAAAGAAAGGGGTAAAGAACTAAAGAGGTTCCATGCGCTAAAGAAAAAATCGCCGAAATAGGAAGGATATGAGAAGAGAAAACATCACATTCGAAAAAACTCATAAGCTCTCTCATATCTGCGATTAGAAGAAGAAAACTGCTCGTTATACCTCAGATCTGTCGATCGGGGGGCTACGAAGCAAGAGGACGAAGGAGAGCCGCGAGGGAAGTAGTTAGGGCTGAAGAGAAACGAAAGGGGTAAGCGGGACAATTGTTCGGAGGAAAGCGGGGCCGCGGGGTTAATATCGCGGCCCGCTTTCTATCCGTTTTGCGAAAGTTTTGCCGCAAAGCTTCGAACCAAACAGTGGACTGCGGGACGAAGCCGCTGTCGCACGCCGCGCCGCGCAGCAGAAGTCGAACCAAACGGTCCCTAATTCATTAACCCATGCTCTGCACGATATAATGTAGGTATTGTAAATGCAGTTTTATAAATCTAACTTAAAATCTCCATAATAATTTCTCAACACTTACAATCACTAGCCACTCAAAACGTTAGTCACTCAACAAAAGGGGCAATTTGTATCAACCCTTTCTTTTTTTTACTACATATCGATCTTATCATTCGCATATCTGCACAATCTGTCAACTTGTCTATAAATGACTAATTCATCACCAATGCTCTGCACGATATAGTATAGGTATTGCAATTGCACTTTTATAAATCCAACTTAAAATTTCCATAATATTTTCTCAACAATTAGGATCACTAGCCACTCAAAACGTTAGTCACTAAACTAAAGAGGCAATTTGTGTCGCTTATTCAAGCGAGTTTTTATTCAACCAATAGCTAAACAAACTATAAAAGGTATTTAAAATTTGTATTCATTAAATCTTCATTTAACCTTTTTTTTTAATTTTAGCACAAAATCAAGTTCTATCACCAAGTTTCAGTTGGTGTTATGGAATTTAAAGAGAATGCGAACAACCAAGGAATTTGACAATATTTAAGAATTGAGCACTCAAACGACTCTTAAATTTCATTTTTTGATATCATCCACATTTACTAAGACCAATTGGAAAATGAATCATAAAATTATATTTAATAAAACTTATACTGAACCAAACATGCCCTAAAAATTACTTCATTGATATTCTCATTCATTTGCACGAAAAATTCAAGATAATTAAACCTATCACACCCATAAATCAATTAATCCACCCATAACATTGATGGAATAAAACTTCATATCTACTAAATTCATATATCGTGCACTCAAATCATTCTTTAACTAGTATTGATGTAGTCAATTTCTATCGGTTATTGCTCTAACTTTGTCTTAACTACAATATCATGAGTTTGTTTGGACACTAACATTTTCTCCGCAGTGTCAGTGTATTTGAGATGACCTTATATCGATTGACTAGCAGCACTATTTTGCTTCAATATATCTTATCATTAATTAAAACTTTTAGGCTATACAAAAAAAAAAAAAAGAGTTCAAATTTTGTTTAAAAATCATGGAATCCAATAAGAAAAATCATGGCAAACTTACTTTAGCATAATTATATGCTTGCCAGCATAATGGTTCCTCCAATTCTGCCGCTTGCAAATCCTTGCTCATTGCTTCCATTAAGTACTCCTCAACATTAGCCATACTATTGGGAGCATGCTGTTCCACGTCACTATCCTCCTCAACTATTCTCCCAGTAATTGATCTATTCAGAACAGATCCTTTCGAGAGATTTCTCGGAAAAAACTTAATTGTTCCAGAAAAAGTTGCCTCAATACTTTTCCCAGTGATACCCCGACCACTTGTTATGATTTTCCACTCAAGAGAATGCTCTGTCATTGCAACAGTTCCAATAGAAGGATTTCCATCAAAAGAAGCTACTCTTCTTCTCGGAAATGGCATTGTGACAGTACAAAAATCCATAGAAAATGGAGCCTTATAGCCTTCCATTAACCTTAATTTAAATAAAAATGCACCTTCATCCTCCGAAACCATCGAAAGTTGGTAGAAGCCTTTCACTGGGGGATCAAGGCTACATGAAGCTATATATCGAATCAAGACGAAATTCCCAAGCGGTGGAGAAAACATGAAGGCTTGCTTATCAAGTCCATGTTCTGATACTTGAGCACAATGATGGAATGACAGAACTTCAACATTAGCTGATTTCAGCCCAGTTAGAGGAACTGAAACGTCAGGCAGTCCCTCTAACTCAGCTCTACAGTTTATTTGACCTGAGATTGATATAGCATCTGAAATTTCATCTCTATCATACATAGCAGCATTGACAACCTCATGAATTGCAAAAAGTATTCGTTGCTTTCCTTTATAAAGGTAAGGTTTCCATGCAGGTTGCTTAAGATCTGCCAGAGGTGGATCCGCTGATGAAAATCCATTGGCCTTTATTGAAGCTATGTTGGCAAAATTGAGGTCAAGAGGTGTCCCTGTAAATGTATTGATAAATACGGATACTAATGAAACTTTCCTACGAAGCTGTTAAATCTAAATGCATGAGATGAGAAATACCATAACAGAAAGTACCAACCAAAGGGCATTGAGGCCGAAATAAAAGTGCGAAGAACTTCTTTGTCGATAGGTCTAGAAATAGTTCTTGGAGTATCGGACAAGACGGCACCAACCAATGAAGCACCAGATGTAGTTAAAGCTACAACAGGTGCCAAAGCAGGTTTTGCTCTAGCAGAAATGCCTGCCATGCCGATGCTACCGGTCAGAGAATCAAGCAATCCACCGACAGAAGCAGATGAACTTGAAACAACCTCAGGATCTGCCAAATCACCGGTAATTATGTCCCCTAATGTGTGTGCAACAACACAAGCCCTATAATATAGAAGAGCATGTCAGCAAATAAATAACCAATACAAATGTTAAAAAAAATAATTATTATTAGGGAAATTTACATATGTACCACACAATTCTTATGTATTTACATATCTCACACCTAAACTTTCATATTTACATACATGGCACTATGGTGCTTTAAACCAATGCATGAAAAGACGTATTTCCCTATTAAAAAGTGGTAATAGTGTTATTTTTTGTGATATTAAAAATTTGAGTGTTGTGTGCGCAAATTTGAATATTCAAGTTTAAGATATGTAAATACGTAAGAATTGTGTGTTATGTAAGTAAACGCCCCTTATTATTAATATTATACCGGATGAACAGGAGAGCTATTCTACTACCATAGCAACACGAGAAGAAACTATCAAAAATGAACATCTACACAATGAAATTTAGGCTCATACACAAAATAAGATATCTATGATATGAACCTCAAACAAACAGAAGAGAAAAAATCCCCAAATAAAACGGTTATGAATTTATGGTTTGAACTGGCACTTCTAAGTTGAGTGTCAGAATATTATCATAAATCAAAATCAATCTTGTAGAGCAAATTACTACTAATAACATTAATAGAGAGAAGAAAAAATAGCAAGTCGTTATCATTTCACTAAAAAGAAAATAATATTTTCATTATATACCCCATGACAGGAAAGAAAGCATGTGGAGCTATAAAAACAAATAAGTACTATTCCTCCCAGATCAAATTAATTACTCAACAAAACTAAAGTTTTGAAGAGAAGCAGCCAAATATTTAAGAAATTTTATTAGGAAAATGTCAAACAAATATTCTAGTATGAACAAAAAAAATATTTAAAAAACATAGCCATTGACAGGGGGGAAAACTCAATTAAAATTAAATATTCTGTCTGCAGAAAATTTATGGAATCACTAAAACAGAAGCCTTAAAATACTATCACATCATGAGCCTTTACAAGCATGTTCAGCATACCCACCTATAATGATTTTGCAAGGACTATGGTGGTTCACCAACTTGAGGTAAGGTATTTGGGGCCTAAACTTCAAACTTTATGTTTTCAATATGGTTAAAGTAGCATGATCGACAGACTAATAGCAATATTAACAAGCACGATGAGCTTCGGAAACCCAAGCAAATGCATGTAATGTTGGTCATAGTTTCACATCAAAGAACTTCATATGAACCATGGTGACAATAAGGATCATCCCAAATTTCCCAAACATGCGCACACCAAAGGGCTGCACAACCACCAAAAGAAAAAAAGGTTTTGCACCATCATAAAGCAATGCATTTAGATTGTTGATTATAAATGGTATTTATCATTTTGAAATAAAAGGCCTCTATGACAGATTGAATTAAAGTATTTCCATAAATTTTACATTAAAATTTATTTATGATTTCTTTTACATATAGCAAGTCTGTCATTGTGAATCCAACAAAAGAAAGTAAGAAAAAAATACAAAAGAAACTAAAAACAATATATTAGCATCTCAATTCTCACCGGTCACCAGCTGCTTGCAGCACATAGACCTAATAAATTGAAGTTAGAACGAGCATCAATGACTAAGGGCTTCTTTGAAATCAATTTTATATTTTGTTTTTGTTTTTATTTTTAAAAATGTTTTTGTGTTTTTTTTACATATTTTTATTATTTATTTCTAAAAATAAATTATCAAGTTTTTGAAAAAACTCCTAAAGAACTTTTAAATATTTTGAGTGTTCTCAAAAAGCAATCATATCTTAATCAAATATGTCAAACATGTTTTGTCTCAAATTAAAACATAAACAAAATAAAATAAAATAAAATTAACTGAAAATAAAAAGCAAAAGTGTTCCCAAACATTCCCTAAGTTGCCTCCCACAATATAGCTTGAAACCATTGTTATCCATGATCTTCACACTTACACAATGACACGATAAACCTAATACCCATTAGTATCAGCTTCACCAACAAAAGAGAAGCAATAATCTAAGCAGATGATGCATCCTATGCAAAAAGTTAGACAAGACAAGATAAAACTAAAAGTTTGTTTAGTTTTCTTTATTAATAAACCATAGAGACAGCTGCTCAACTTCCTTTAATATTACAGAATTTTAAAGGGAGAGAATAAATTATTGCAAGAACTTATGAATTGCAAACTTACCATACCCTGTGATGCAAGGAAGATTAAGTAGAAGAGAAGAAAGGCCGTCAACGCCTCCACTAGCATTTCCACAATCTGAGCGCCTACAGATTCTCATATATAATTTATATTGTTGAGGTTCAACCAAAGGTAAAACAAGGATATAAAAAACACCCTTTATATGTAACACCAAAGGCCACAGCTTGTATTCTTCTCCTTCCTCTCTGTTTATATGAAGCATTATAATGTGTCGAGTGATAGGATCATCAGACCATGAATCTGAATCTGGAGTAGAATGACTAAGACGAATACCATAGCCACGAGCAGAGCCTTCCCTGCCAAGGGTAGTTTAGAATTTTAACAAGGTTGATTTGAAAGTTACCTAGTAAGTGGAGATAGTCAAGCTATAAACTCGAACCAAAATTATAATGCCACATGTCATAAACTATCACAACTATGTCAAGAGTAAAAAGAACATTAAATGTATCCAAAAAAACTTAACAAACCCCAAATCCATAATCTTTACTATGAATTTCTGTCATGCTTGATTAGTTATTGATGGTGCCTAAGCATTAGAGATGTTGGAAATGCTAAACAAATTAAGTAAATTAAGAATAAAAAAAGACAAATGAAAAGCTTCATAATTAGAAGAAATTAGAAAATATGGCAATTAATATGAAATTGAAAAAAAGGATCTTATACGGTTGAACCTTAATATAAAGCATGGGATCCAATCAACCGAGCATCTTAAAATGCTAAGCCACCTTATATCTGCAAAGCCTCTCGTTGTATCATGAGTACCAGAAAAAATTTAAAAAATTCACAAATAATGCTTCAATCACCAACCAAATCTAATAATGATATCATAATTGAAAAATAATAGGTTTGGGTTAAATATTGCCAAACAATTTTTTGAGAAACAACCTTCTTTATTCCCGTTTTTCCTATTGTTTTAGGCTAAATATTGAATTCCGTAAATGTTGGGGAAGCACGAATTAAGAGATTTATTCCACTGCTTATTGCATCTTCCTCTCCTTCATTAAGATTCTAAATCTTTAAGGGGGTGTTTGTTAAATCCTATTAAGGATTAAACATTAATAGGATTTAGAAATTCTATTAAATCCTATTAAGAATTTAACATTAATAGGATTTAGAAATTCTGGATTTATTAAATCCACCCCCTTGCTGGATTTATAAATCTAAATTTAACATGAATCAAAGTCAAAATCCAGACCTTAAATCCAAAATTTCATAAATTCATGAAACTTGTGCATTTTCATATTTGATTTAGTAAATCTAACCAATAAATCCTACTAATAGGAGGCTACCAAACAACCCCTTACGTAAACATATTTAACCCCAGATTTACGTAGGATTTAAGTGAAATCATGCCAGACAGTCATTTTGGACAAAATAAATCCCAGAATGTTGTAAATCCGGATTCCACGGATTTCGGCTGTAAATCCCGTGAACTGATGAATTTAACCTCGTGGGCATTCAAGTGTCTCCAACAGCTAATCCTGACAGAATTGCCAAATGGTTTTACTGATTTACAGGATTTAGTAAATCCATTGCCAGATAGTTTTCCGGATTTAACCCATTCAGGATTTAGTAAATCCGAATTTACGGGATTCACTAAATCCTAATACCTTAAGTCTCATCTGTGGCCAGAAAGCACCTAAAATACTAGTAGGATAGTTTATAAGATTGAACCATTTAATGTCAACTATGCCAAGCAGTTTCAAAAAGCCTCCAGCGTTTACTGAATTTATATTTACGATATCTACTACTAGAAGCCACTTGCCGCCAAACACCCCCTAAATAAGGATCGTTAACGAAAAAGGATGCAATAATATGACGATAGGAAAATCTTAAGGAGTTGTGAAAACCACATAAATGTTTGCTGGAAGACAAGATTTAAAAACAAAGTATAGAAGCTCTTTGAAATAGTATGAACCACTTAGAACGGCAGGCTTCAAGGAGGTCAAATATTCATTAACCTTCGCTTTCTCTCAGAAAATGCGGAAGCCAGCTCTGGATCGGTTGGAAGCAAAGGTTCTACGCGTCCACCATCCTCGTGGCTGCCGGAGCTCTCGTTCTCCCTCTGGCAAGCCAATCGCCAACGCTTCTCCACCACCGGAAATCTCCTGTTCAGACCATCGGAAGGAACAAGGGATAATCATGAAAACAGAAACCTACTTCGATAATTTCGAATCGTCCTAGAAGGATGGATATCTAACGAAAGGTGAAAAGACAACGGGGAATGAAATGATCTGCTAGGCGGCCTCACCGAGAGAATACCACGGTATCTTGAAGATTAAGGATCCAGATAGCTCTGATGCTGCAACCAGTCATCCCTCGCTCTCTCTCTCCCATCCGTGCGTGCGCCAAAGCTTCCCCAGGCTCTTTGTGCAACCTAACCGAAGAAGAGAATTAAGGATCTTGTGCAACCTAACCGAAGAAGAGATTATCGATCGAACAAGGGCTTCCTTGGGATTATTTTATTTTTTTATTTAAAATATTTTTAAAAATAACTAGATATATTATGACAAATCAAACATATTTTTCTTCAAGTAAAATTAATAAAAAAAATAATGAATTAAAATATTTAATTTTGTCCACTGAGTCTAATTATTCTTAATTATATTATTAAAATAATAATTTAATTTAACATATAAAATAGTTAATCATTATCTAATATAATTCTATAAATAATTATTAATTATAACCTAGTTGTTTTTATATAAGATTTTAAAATCATTTTTTTTTTGAGCTAGATAAAATACAAAAATAATCAAGTAAATATTATAAAAAAAAACCTAATGAATATATAATCTATTTTAATTATATTTGAGTTAGGATATCATTGTCTTTTTTTTTTTTTCTTAGTTGATATATAAGCAATCTATATTTGAGTTAGGATATCATTGTCTTTTTTTTTTCTTAGTTGATATATAAGCAATCCCTTTTTTATATTAGTTAATTATTATTTATTGTATGGAGTCTCTTATTTGTTATAAAATGCAAATTATAATTGACTTGTCCTAGAAATTTGAGGCAATAAAATTTATATTTTTGTCCCACCTTATATTGATATCTCCTGCAAATATGAGAGGGAAATCATGCAAAAAAATAAAATATATATTCGACCAGATCTAGATGAAGTCTTAAGCAAAAAAGAGGGGTTGATCATATTAGATTGGTTTATAACACTTTTTTGCATTTGATGAGATATCTATATCTAGTTCAGAAGTAATTAGATTCATAATTAACCCATAAATGATCTGTCATAGTCAACCCAAACTACACATGCGTATTAAAATGGTCAAAAATCTCAATCCATATTAACTTAACCAAAGTTGTAATAGGATAATTTTAATTTGGCAAAAAATGAACATGATTATTCAATTTAGACACATTACTAAAAAAATTAAAAAAATTATAGTTTAATAATAGTTCTTTATTAAAAAAACGTACAAGTTAAATCTTTTTTTTAGTTAATTTTCTCTAATATTCTTAATTTTTTTAAAAAAATTATTGATGTTATGCACCAAAAAAAGTTTAGGTTTGATGATCTTATTACTATTATTGTGGAAAACTAATATTTCTTTTATTTATTGCATCAATTTATTTAAATTATTTTATGATTTGAACATAGGGCATAGTTAATTCAAATTTGTTGTTATTGGGTTACTCTTTGAGTTAGTTTTCTCTAATTAGATCTACTAGTCATAAGGCAGTTAATTTTCATTTGTTAGAGGTAAATGCTCAAAATTATTTTTATGGGATTTTCATTGACAGTTGTTGTAGATTTTTATACATATATGATAGCTTATCAATCAAGTTTATATTTGCATGCTCATTTTTTCATAGATTCATAAAAATTTAATTGTTCGTATTAAAATCATGAATAAATTTAAATCTCTTATAGCATTTCATACGATTACATAACTTATTTCATGCATATATTGTCTAAGTTTATGAGAAATAATTATTTTTCATTTGAATTACATCAAGTTGATATGAAATTACCTCGGTTGTATCATATCAGATTATTAGTCATAACACTTAATCAACTTATAAAAAAAAATGCATATATTTGATTAAAGTGAATACTAATATTACCCTCATGTTAATGTGATTGACATTAAACTAATAGACCTATAGAGTAATGAGCCTCTAGAGAATCATTGGTCTTTGAAAGGCGGGTGAAAAGATTATTTTTTTAGGCCATCTTAGCATATTATATGTGTATAGAATATATTATGATAATTGTAAACACTTTATAATTTATTAGATAATTTATAATTGGGTATGCATGAATATGTATGATATTGTTGCATGTGAATATATTATTAAATAAATGCATTGATTATTGCTTTTAATTTTAAAAATTATGAATATAATCACATTGTGATATATCATAAAAAATTTTGATTTTCTTTTATCATTTATAACATGTAATGTTTTATATTGTAAAGTTGTGTTTTATTTATGTTCATTGCATGTCACCTGTATTATCATTTATGTTTTAATAAATAGAAATTATCTATTGACTTTATATGACATATTAATTGTTCATACAATCTTTAAGCATATCATAAATAGTTAATTGGTGGATTATCACCTAAAAAATAAATTATTCACAAGCAATTATTCATTATATTGTCATTCATATTTTTAGTTTTTTTTTTTTTTGTTAAATTTAAACTTATATACGTTGGGTACTTGGATTAGCTACTTTAGGTTAGTTCATTTCATTTTTATTAATTGATAGTTAGTTCATTACATTCTATTTAAGAATCATTCCCTCTTAAATAGAAAAAAAATGTTCTACTTAATCATAGCTTTTGATGTTTGTCTCATAAGTTAATATTAAGTTTGTTATGAAATGCCTCGTATTATTTATGCCCATCATCTTTTAAATTTGGGAGTGATAAGAATTATTAATATCATCACTCTTTATGATTATTTTCATTTGGTTTGATGTTCTTAACAAGGGAGTCAAGTTTCAACTTGAGAAAACAACTATTTAGGATCATGATGTGTAAAGAGACAAGTGTAAATCAACAAACTAAAGGAGATATTTCAAATACAAGAAAGTTGATGTGACAAAAAAATCTTATATTAATCACATGATGAAAAACATAATTTATAGTGGTTCAATCTCGTAACCACGTGTGTTTAAAGTTTAATCATCATGACAATACAATTTGAATCAAATTTATAAAAAAAATTAGACATAGATCATCCCAATTAACTTATGGGTTGTGTTTGAATATAGAACTCTGACACGTTTAATTTTTGGTTCAATCTCGTAACCACGTGTGTTTAAAGTTTAATCATCATGACAATACAATTTGAATCAGATTTAAAAAAAAATTAGACATAGATCATCCCGATTAACTTATGGGTTGGGTTTGAATATAGAACTCTGACACATTTAATTTTCACATGATGAAAAACATAATTTATAGTGGTTCAATCTCGTAACCACGTGTGTTTAAAGTTTAATCATCATGACAATACAATTTGAATCAAATTTATAAAAAAAATTAGACATAGATCATCCCAATTAACTTATGGGTTGTGTTTGAATATAGAACTCTGACACGTTTAATTTTTTTCAGATTAACCAGCCAACACAAATATGACTTGGACTTCATCCAAAATTAACACTGATACATGTTATGTATTATGTTAAATGGATTATGTGGGTTGATTTTGGTCATTCGTGTTACAGACAGATTATGTTCAAATTAGTCTTTTTTTAATTGATAAATAAGGGTCAATTCAAGTCATTTATATTCGATCAGGACAAATTTAGGTCAAACTCGAACCATCAACCCAAATTGAAACCTCTATTAGTAACCAATGTCATTATGGCAAGGAAGATACATGTTTCATTACCATTAAGAACAAAACACAAAGATTAATGTTTGGAGGCAAAGAAATATAGAATTCGTTTGGATAAAAATAAATTGTTGAAAATATATTTTTGAAAAGGTGAAAAATACTTTTTTAATTCCATTTTTTACTTCTTTATTGGTCCAAGGACGTGTTATGATAGAATTTATTTTTCATTTGGTAACATCTTTGTATCATTTTGGTGTCTAAAGAGCACCATTGAGCTGTTGATGCAATTCCTTATTTCTCGCTCTTTTAAATTTTTTTAAGAAAATGTTGATCATAATGAAGGCTTCAAAAAAATTACCTCATTTAACCAATAAAGTTAATTGAGATATGCTCCAATCATATAGTATTGATGTTTTCTATAGGTACTAATTCCTATGGTTAATTGCATCAATGAAAACAATGAAAACACTATTACTAAGCATAAAAATGATTGAATGAGTTGATAATTTTTAAGCTATAAAATAACTCGAGAAAAACAAGCATTAAATTTAGAATTGATCAATGCAATGACTTATGTCCATAGTGAAAAGAATTGAAAGTAAATATACACTAATTAAGAACATAAATGTATATGGAATGTACCTCAATGTGGCCGAGTAGATCCTATAATGCATGTACCGTCCACTTTGGCCCAATTCATCATTTGTTCAAAAAAGTCTTGTACCTCTATCTCTTCATGCATGACTTTCAAGGGGGGCATTCATTTTAAACATGCTCAACATTAGAGTTTTGAATGCAATTGTAAGTGTGGCATCCAAAGGTTACTTGCATATCTTATTCTAATTATTTTATGACAAATATCGTCTTTTATACTATTTCAAAGGTTAATTATAAATCACATTTCCTGTAGGGTAGCAAAGCATATGAATGTTAAGGCCACTATTCATCTTGGATTCTTGACCTTGATCATGGGCATCAAGTAGTCTATCTCTTGAGCTATAGCTTTTTGATATGGAGCCCTTCCACCATGGAGGTTGATGTACCACTAGCTATAACATGATTGGGTGGATTTGAGTTTTTTATTTTTATTTTTAACAACAAAGTTAGTTTGGCCATTAAAAAGGAGAAGAACAATTAGTTAAATTCAAATTAAGATATTAGAATATAGAGATTTCATAAGTAAAAAAAAATGAATATTTTCTTTGGTTAATGTTGCGAGAGAATTATCATAATGATATTGGAATTGTAATCACAAAAAAGAACTATATTATAACTTATTAATGAAAATAAAACCTAAGTAACAACATAATCATGCTTGATCTCATTCAATCCCCTTTCATCAATAATATTGATCATTATATTTTAGGGGTTTCAATCTGTCTAGCATGTGATTTTGATTTTAATTTGGATATATAATAATAACATATGAGATGACAAGAGTTTGTTTAAATATTCTAAAAAATTAGGTAATAGAACTAAAAGGATTCATGCATTAGGCATGTAAATAGCCCTATTGGTATGCTAATAATATTGTAGAGACCAAGCTGCCTGTGCGGGATAAATGATAGCATAAATTTAGTGTAAGAAGGAGAAATTGTTGGAAAGGGTAATTTAAATTTTATTCATTATGAGATGATAAGCACATTCAATATTATAATATTTGAATTAATATTATTGACAAGCTGCTTGTGTTGGGCACGACTCCAAGTAGAAAACACCACAATACACTATCATGCATATCAAGAATGCAGGCACACCAAAATAACATAACAAAAGAAGGATGCACGGCTAGAGCAACCAAATCAGCAAAGAACAATCGTCAAACATAAAAGGTATAAAAAAGACTATCTAGCGCCATAAATCCTAATTGAACATATCATCTAACAAAAAGTGTGCTGACCAGCATCTGAGTGCACAAGGTAAACTCTCCGACTATTGTATGACTTTGACGGGGTCGCCATACCGGCTCTGTCATAAAGATCCAAGGGATCTAAAGCATGCCAAAGGGAA